ACGGGTGTTGACCCCAGTAGCACTCCCCAGTAGACTTTTTGCACATCACTCTCCATCTCAGAGTTTGCATCCTGGGGAACCTCACCTGTAACACTGGGTAGATAAGTATTATATGTGACTGAAATGTGGGTCAGGTGCACACAGAGACTTCATCTGTACCTAGTTTCCTATTCACAGGATGTGCCAGTTTCACATAGTTTTAGAGGACAGATCAAAATTATGTAACAAAGTCTGTAGTTTAATAGCATTTACCAGTTGATCTGCACTTGGTGGCAGTCGGTTTCAAAATATTACCTTGCATTTAATAAATATTTATCGAGCAATTTCAAAGTGCCAGGTGCTGCTTTAGGTGCTGGGGACAGAAGAGTGAATGAGAGACGTCCCTGTCCTCAGGCAGCTTACCTTTTACTGGGGGAACAAAAAATAATTAGTAAACAAATAATATATTTTCAAACAGTGACAGATTCTAAGAAGAGAAAAAATGGGGTAATAGGATTGAGAGTGATGGGGGGGCTTCCTTATCAAGAGTGGCCCCGGGGGGCCTCCATGGGGAGGTAACACCTGAGGTGAGATGAAAAAGATGCAGGGCTGGCAGGCGGTTTGGCCCAGCTGGTTTACTAGTGTAGACTCGTTTTATTAGTTCATTAGAGAGAAGATTTGGGGTGTGCTGTAAATCTCAGGTGGGCCAAAGCCTGGATCTATGACACGGGGGTATAGTTGGTCGCATGCCTAGCCAGATGTCTGTCTTATCAATATATGTGTTCTGTATACATTTTATAAAAACTGTGTTTCACTTAGAAGAGAGCAAGAGTTTTATTTCTTTTTAAGATTTGACCCCAGAGGGAAGGACTGGGGGGAGGGGAGAGGCGAGTGCTTCCCTGTGGAACTAGCATGAGAGGGTGGAAGGGCCGCGTCTGTGTCCGGGGGTGCTGTGGCCTCGTGTGAATGGGACTTAGTGGGTGCTAGTGCTGTGTCGCATTTGTTAATGCTGCCCATGTTTTGCTTTTGCATAACAGGTTGAAATAGAAAAGAAGTGGATTAAAATCGATGGAGAAGACCCAGATAAAGCTGGTGACTGCGTAACTCAGTAGGAGTAGCAAGAGTTAATGATGACGACCTCCTTTCCAAATATGCAATTTATAGAAACCACACACAGTTGTGCTCCTGTAGAGTGGAAATGACTCCTGAGTAGAGGGCTTAGGACAGGTCCAGGGGCCGTGTTTAGAGAAGTGTAGACCTGAAACCGAACAATCTGTGTTTTCTGCTTTTGATATGTTTGTGCCGCAGGGGTTTGATCTAAAGTGTGTCTGTAATTTGCGTGATGTTTCTGCCTCCTACTGAAACTCAGAGGCGCTGTTATTCAGCGTGTGACCCAACAGCCCGTTTGGCCAAAGGGTTTTTGATTTTTGATGACTCGGTGGCTGATTGTTTTTTGCTATGGATTGCCCAGGTGCCATATTTATTATCCTCCAGTCCCCGTTTCTTCTTGCTGTGTTAGCACCGGTCCTGGAGGGTGAAATGATCAAAGGGAACAGAAACCACGTCACTTCATCTTCCCGCTTGCCCACCCCTGAGACGTGGCGGGTGCGGAGCGATGCTGAGAGCGCAGGTTACATTGGAGAGGTGGACGTATCTGTGCTTTTCACTCGTTTACCTTCCTGGCCTCTTACCACACTGCAGGTCATCATCGGCTGTATTTGGTCCCTGTCTTTCCCCCACAGTATTATTGTTTTCAAAATGTATCTGTATTCTGGCGTGTGTTGCAGAGAAGCTGTTTCTGTTGATATACATATTTTAGTACAAGTCACTAAGACCTATTGCCTTTTGCTTGGAGAAATTTCTTTTAAAATGGAATCCCAGTATTTGACACTAGTTAAAATATTTATGTACATTAAAGATGAATTTTTAAACTTCATGAATATTCTTTCCCAAAAGTATAGACTCTAAGAATGTACTTCGATAAAGTATTATTTGTGATTAACAGAAGTCTCTCTTGAGTAGAAGTCTAATTCAAGATAATTTTATGCTAGTTCTACTGGATTCAGAATATTTTTCTTTAAAAGGTGAGTGAATTGAAAGAGTGGATTATTTCCCCTAGATTTTTGGCATTTCTGTTCTTCAGTAAGCTAAATGTTTGGTTTCTAATGAAAAGCCAATAGCATTAGCAGTATAATTCTGTTTATAATTTCCCTTTAATATTTACCACAAAAGGTCAAATTTAAAAATTCATGAAACCTATATTCTAGGTATTTTTTAGTCTGAAAAACAAAAATCCTCCATTTGGTATTAACATACCTTCAATTTATGTTGTATCTACAATATGATTAGGAAGTATTTTTCTTTATCTACTAGATTTGTTTTAAGTCAAAACTGATATAATGATGCCCTTCCAAACAACATGTATTTGTCGGCCCAGAGTTTACGTCTTATGTTTTATTTAATATCGTGTTACATTCATTGTAATCTGCTCCAGAGCCAGATTAAAACGAACACGTGTCCTGGTTTGTATCAATCAGCAGATTTTATTGCTTTTCCTTACTTTGCTGACACAGCGAGGCGTGCAGGAGTTGACTGCTGAAATGAAGTGTTACTGCTCTTTTTAGCTCCACGTGGTGCATTGCTCAGAATATCTCTGCTCGAGGCTGGCTGTTGATCTGCAGAAGGGCAAATCTGTGTGTGCCATTAAAAAACCCGGCGTCTTTCCCCAGGCCTGGCGGCTTCAGCCCCGAGGCGGCTGGAGGGGCTGCCGCTCCGGACCGGACCCGGGTCGGCTGGCTTAATTCCTGCCGTTGCTCCCAAGCCCCACTGCTGGCATCCTGGCCGCGAGCGACTCGGAGCCTGGTTCAGCTGGACTTCATGGATGTTCACACCTCCGAATAATGGCAGCCAAGGGTCCCGCGAGTGGCCGCGCTTGCTGCCCAGGCTGCCCGGTGTCTGTGACTGCCCCCCGCCGGGTCACTTATTCCCCGGCCCCCCGCCTTCGGGAGCGTCCCGGCTCAGTGTTGGAAACCCAGCAGCAAAGCGCTGACGAACGCCCGAGCTGAGTTTCTGCGGCGGAGCGGAGGTTGATAGCAATAACGGCGGGGTGCTGTGGCGTAATTGTTAATTTGCACATCTATTAGGATCCTTAAATATTCATTACTTAGCGTTAAATTAACATTCTGTGGAGGGAGGAGAGGCTTTTTCATACAATTCTTCTGACCTCAGAAATGGCAGAAGGTCGGATGTGACCACTGTGCTGTAAGTGAAAAATCAGGTAGGGTCCATTTAGACTTACAAATTAAAAAGTAGAATGTCCTTTGCCGGGAAGTAAATGAGGATCTTAAAGACAGCAACTACGATAACAAAACCCCTACTTCTAAGGTTGGGAAGGATGGAAGAGCGTGAAGGAGGAACTACTCCTTTCTAGCATTTTAACTTAGGTAATTTAGATCAACCCCTTCTCAGTTTGACTGTTTAGGGGCCAGTCGTTTGATGGACATACATCAGGCTTCCAAGGACTTGGCCCGTTTCGGACTAGCTGTCCTGCTCTGATTGTTCAGGTCTGGTTGCCTTCCCAGTCAAAGGATCACTATTAACTGTGTAAATGAATTCATGGCTTGATCAATTGTACAGATCAGAATCTAAGGACATTTTCTCTTTCTATGGGAAGACAAATAGTTTATTCATTTAAGAAGGTAGGAAAAAATGTACTTTTCAGCATATAGATAAAGGTTGGATTTGTTTTTTTACCTGATTTATATATTAGACAGTTTTAGGGTTTAGTTTCCTTCATTCTGAAGCTGTGCTTAGGATACAGCCCTTTTCTTATAAATTCAGTTAGAAAGCCTTCCTTAGTAATGATTAAGTATTATGTCTTACTTAAAATATTACTTTATGTCATAGCAACACAAGTGTAAAGCAGGTTGAGACTTAATAATCCTGTAACAAAGTATTTGGTAGATTGCATATTGGTTTTTCAAAATTAAAGATGTATTTCAAATGATTCTTGCTGTGCGATGGACTTATATCTTCTTTTGCAAGGTCTGGGGCTATTTTTTTTTAAAGGTGTGAAATCAATTTCAATAACCTTAAACAATTGACTCTCTGTCAGGCGAATGTATACTGCTTTACTATCAAGGAGCCAGTGAACACGGCATCTTGGCACATCCTGGAAAAATAACAGCACCATCTATAATTTGTGGTGACTTTTAAAAGAGGATACTTTCCTAAAGAAATCATTACTTTCCTAAAGAAATAATGTGAGTATATGCCTAAGGCTTTACTTAACCCATTAACTAACGGGAGAACTGTTAAGATGTTGCAACTGGTTCCAGGGAGAATTCAAAGAGCAGACAGATATGTAGGAAATAAGGAATTCTGAAATGAATTTACAAATAGATGTAAAAATGAGTCTATCCACAGGGAGTAATTAATAATCAATTTTCCCTCCTGCCCCACAATCAATTTGCATTTGTATGGACTCACATTATGGGTATTGTTAGTTTTCTAAAACTTAACAGAGTTGTATAATAATGCAAAGGCAATGAAAGGTGTTGATAACCTGGACAAATGAGCCAGATGGGACACCTACTATTCAAAGTGTTTCACAGTTTTTCCTGACAACAGGACAAACTTTGTCCACAGGATAATTCTAAAGAATTTTCAAACTTTGACAACTAGTATTATAGATATTATGTGCATTGAAAACAATTTTTTAAAGTTTAGAAAACTATTTTTATATAATTGTACAGAATATATTTCATATAAGGTGTATGTTGAGGGAAGAGGCCATAAAAGATGAAGAGAAATCAGCTTCATGTAAACCAACCTAACAACCTCTCCACCCAACCCTTTTTAGGAGAAAGCTGCTGTCAGGGGAGAGGGTGAATAATTTTTTTCCTACCCTTCTGAGTTCTAATCAGATTGATGTGAGACAGATTAACAGGAGAAAACAACCAAGTTTATTGCATATGTACATACGGGGTTCCGAAAGACTATGGGACCCAAGGACTATTTGGGCAGTTGGGGTAAAGAACAGGAAGGTCCTGGTTTGGACTGCAAAGGGGGTGAAAGCAGTTCACGGGGAGATGAAAGCAAGTGTTTGCTGAGGCATCTTTAACAAGGGGCCAAATGGATCACACGGGCCTTGCTGGGTTCCTCCCTGTCCACCCCACTTCGGTCGTATCAAACCGAGTTATCTGTGATGATAGCGCCCTTCTTGGAGCAGGTCCTCTATTTAAATTATTTTAGGCAAGGGGAAGGTGAAAGGTTATTCCTGAGTCTTTTGTTTCTTAAAAATAATCAGCTTAAAAGAATCAATATCCCCCCAAAAAGGCATGTTTGGGGTTGGCAAACTCTGCTCCACTCACTGCCATGTGTTGAAATTTACCTTTTATCTACATATTAAAGTTAAATTTCAAAACTGCATCAGGAAATAAAACTTCATAGAGGCCAGATCCTTAAGCACTGTTTAGCTACTACTGGAATTAACAGGGCTTGGCTCTAATTCCTAAAAAACAACAAAGGATTAAGTGCCCTAAAACTGATCATATTTGTAACAAATTTCCTCAGGTTCTCATTCATCAATTCCTGTTTTGTCTCAGCTTCATCCCCTTTGTGTACACACAATGATTGCGCTGGATTTTGCTGTCTCTCCCAGCCTCTCCCCGCCCTCCGGAGCTACTCAATGTCAAGGATGTTTTATGCCCTTACCCAGGGTCTTAAAGTACAGGGGTGGTGTATTGGCTTGAACCTTATGCAATAGCCAATATTTAACAATTCTTGATAACAATTTAGTGTTTTGTTTTTGTTCATCCTCACCAGAGAATATTTTTTTCCATTGTTTTTTTAGAGTGGAAGGGGGAGAGAGAAACAGCGATGTGAGAGAGACACATTGATCGGTTGCCTCCTGCACAAGTCCCAACCAGGGCCCGGAATCAAACCTGCAACCCTTCAGTCCACAGGCCGACGCTCTAACCACTGAGCCAAACCTGCTAGGGCCTTGATGGCAATTTCATGGGGTGCAATCTAGTTACCTGCATATTTTCCCAGTGTATATGAAACAAAAGATTTTTCTTGTTACAATTGCATTTTAAAGTTCCTACTTGGAACTGGCATCTAAATATGAATTTGACTGTAAATTATTATTATTTTAAATGTATCTTTATTGATTTTAGAGAGAGGAAGGGAAGGGGGCGAGAGAGAGAGACATCAATGATGAGAGAGTCATTGATCGGCTGCCTCCTGCAAGCCCCCTACTGGGGATCGAGCCTGCAACCTGGGCATGTGCCCTGACCAGGAATCAAACTGAGATCTCCTGGATCATAGGTCGATGCTCAACCACTGAACCACGCTGGCTGGGCGACTGTAAATTAATTTTTAAAGCAAGGCAGAATTGCCGCAGGTCAGAAAGCAAATAGTTGAGTTACAAAAAATAACAGATAAAAGTTGCAGGTAACATTATGCCTTTAAAGTCATGTTTCATCTGTAAGGGAAAGGAAAACAGATTAGACTAGTTGCCCCATTAAAAAAAATTGTTGTGATAATGTTGGTTAGTAACATTATATAAATTTCAGGGGTACGACTTTATAATACAACATCTGTCTACTGTATTGCGTGCTCACCACCCAAAGTCTGTTTTAAAAGATTGAATGAAGTTCATTTCTAGGAGCTTTCCTGGTGAAAAATTGCAGATCACCGTTGGACTTCCAGGATTGAAACTTTCCCCTCATTCCCCTCCTGGAACTGCTCCGGAACAGCCTTCCAAACCCCGGGTGGGAGGATGGCTTACTTAAAGAACACGATTGTGTTGTGGGCATTTTCCTGCAAACCCTGTTGTACGTCCCAGAACTGCTGTGAGTTGCGGCAGGCGCTGTGCGGCAGACCCCGGGAGCAGAAGAGGGCGCTCGCAGGCAAGCTGCTGCTGCTCGGCGTTAGAAACAATTTGAATTTGGTGGTGTTTGTATTATGATTAATACAAGATTTTGGGGGCATTTTGTAAAGCATTTCAAAGCACTGTGAGCCTAGTGGAGTATAATTAAAATTAATACACTAGACAAACATTTAAAAGTATTCTTAATGCTTTGTCTAAAAATGCTGTTGAATACAATTTTACACATCCCAAAGATTTAAATACCATGCTTATCTCCAAACATTTCTAAGTCCTAGCTAGGAACAGAAAAATAGTGCCTTTCTTCTCAACGGATTTCACACTTTTTCTAATGAGAGTTAATCAACTTTAAATCTGCTCACTGTAAGAGATTCCTAAAGTATTATAATGAATCCATCCCGTTTGACTTCTGAACTTCAGTTGCATGTGTCAAGGTCAATGTGGTCTCTAAAAAGCTTCAGCCTTTTAGGCTTGTACTTTCAGATTCTTAGGTAAGGACAAACAAATGTACGCTTTCAGGAGAATATTCCACGCCACCTTGACTCAGGAACGAGCCTTCTCACCGTTTAGTCCTCAGAAATCAGTAATGGGCATCGTCTTTTCAAGATGGGCGCTATCTTCCTCTCAGAAATCTTCCCAGGTGGGTGTGGTCCTCTCTTGTAAAGCCTGTTAGAACAATATGCTTCCCAAAATCTTACAGCATGGGCGCGTCTATGCCTGTGGCTAACCACGTGAGGCACTCCCGAGGGTGTGTTCCACGCCCTGAGGAATAGAGCTTGCTTAAGACATTGGCTGCCTTAAGTGGTCAACTCGAAGCACCTCAAAATGCTATGTAACCACTGTTCCAAAGGATTATCTTGCTGGTTCTAATGTTTATTTAGTGCCTACTATGTGCCTGCATTTTTCTAGGCGCTAAGGATGAGCAATCACGAAACAGTCCATTCCTGTGCTTGGAGAGGATATGCGCTAGCGGAGGAAGTCGGACAGCAGACAGATAGCAAGTTGCAGTCATTGTAACGCAGGGGGCAAAAAGCATCGGTGGCAAGAGAGGGCTGTTTTAGACAGGCTGTTAGGGAAGTCCTCTGAGGAGATGGCATTTAGCTGAGACCTGAAAGAAGTGAGGAAATAAGCCACCAAGGACACACACAGAGGGAACTGCTGTTGCAAAGGCGCTGAGTCGGAGCGTGCTTGGCCGGCTGGAGGAACAGCAAGGCAGGCAGGCGGCTACCGGGCGGCCCTGAACAAGGAGGATGGTTGGGGGACGGAGAGGTGGTGGGTAGGCGAGGGGAGCAGGTCACGCGGTTTCTGGAGGCTGGTAAGGGCTTTAGATCTTATTCCGAGTGAGACGGGAGGCCCTGGACCGTGCGGGGTGAAGGAGTGATACGGACTGAGTTACACGTTAAGGTGACCCTGTGGCCGTGGAAGGGTGGCAGTGCCGCCCCCGAGGGAGCAGACGGCGGGCCGCTGCGATCACCCAGGGGAGCGGCGAGGGTCCCTGGGAAGGGCAGTGAGGGAGACGAAAGGGGGCTGGCCTCAGACCCACTGGCAACACAGCGCTAATAGGTGTGCTGGGGGACTGGGTGAGATCCCGGCGTGAGGCAAAGAAGGGGACCAAAACTGACTCCAAGGTGTTTGTCCCGAACAGCTGGAAAACGGAGCCGTCCTTCATGGGGAAAAGGAAGACTGTTGTAGGAGCAGGGTTGGGGGGGGGATGCGAAGCTCTGCTTGGGATGTGTTAGCGTGAAGACATCTGTTAGACGCCCAAGTGGAGGCAGCAGGTGGCAGCGGGTGCGTGACGGGAAAGGGCTGGGCTGGAGGGGAAACGCCTGGGGACCTAAGTACTGGAGGTGGTGAGGCTGGACGAGCTCAGCTCACCGGAGTTAATGTAAGGAGCAGAAGTGCTCTGGGAACGAAGCCTTTGCACCCGAAGGTCAGAGGCCAGAGGAGGAGGGGTCCGCGGAGGCGACTGAAGGTGCCGGCGCCCGAGGGAGCGCAGTCAGCTGCCTCAGGGGTCGCTGGTAGGACAAGGGAGCACTGAGAAGCGACTTGCTCAGCCACGTGGGCATCGTCCGTGACCCTGACAGACCACTCAAGTGGGTGTGGAGGCTGCGAGCA